GCCAGTCCCGGGGCTGCGGGAGTCTTACCGGGGAGAACTGCGCGGCACCCGAACCCAGAGCCGAGTTACTCCCCAAGAGAGCGCCTCCGCCCGCGGCCGACAGCCCCTACGCGAAAGGCTTTCCGGAGCCTGCAGCAGCCACCACCACCTTCGCCGCTTCACAAAATGGCCGCCGGCCCGCTCCGCAGGTCCGCGTTCCAAAAGGGGCGGGATTGGGTGGTGACGTCACGGGCGAGACGGCGCAAGCGCACTGACGTTTTCGGGCTATCTCCCGGAAGTTGCCCCGGTGTGTGGCGAAAAGAGCTGTCGGCCCCTACGAGCGACTCTTGCACACTAACCCCACCTTGGGAGAGTGACGCTCGTGGTGGGATGGGTCCCGTATCTGGGTCAGCCCCGCACTGCGGCGCTTTGTGCAAATTGCTTCCCTTTTTTTTTAATATATTTTATTGATTTTTTACAGAGAGGAAGGGAGAGAGACAGAGAGCCAGAAACACCGATGAGAGAGAAACATCGAGCAGCCGCCTCCCGCACATCTCCCACTGGGGATGCGCCCGCAACCCAGGCACACGCCCCTGACCGGAATCGAACCGGGACCCTCCAGTCCGCAGGCCAACGCTCTATCCACTGAGCCAAACAGGTTTGGGCTTGCTTCGCTTTTTTAAGCCTTTGCGAGATGAGGTAAATACCTAGTTCGCGTGATTGTTTTGAGAATTAAAAGGACCATAAAATAGTGCCTAATGATGATTTCCTGACAGAAGAACCACAACCTGATTCTTTTGCTATTTAAAAATTTCAATCAGGGGAGCCTTACCCACCAGTCTTCATTAACCCATCCACAGCTGCACTTCAGTATTATTTTATTATAGAAAAATTACTCTGATGCTGCTTTGGTCCAGGCCTCCCAGACTCCACTGCCCCTGCCTATACCCTATCCTATATATCCTAGATAATAAAAGGCTAATATGCAAATTGTCCCCTCAGGAGTTTGACCACTCACTATGATGTGCACTGACCACCGCGGGGTGGGGGGTTGGGAGGGAGACACATGGCAGGTGACCAGCTGTGGTGAGGCACTGAGGGAGCAAGGGAAGGGGGTGGGGCATTGGGCATCTAGTATATTCATGAATATATGTTCATGAATATCACCATAATTGGACTAATTTTCCAAAGTGAGGAGTCAACTAATAAAACCAGGGACTAAATTTCCACAACTTCAACATGCCTGGTGCTGGCCCAGTGTGCCAAAACCAGCAAATTAAAAAAACAGGCCTTGCCGAAACCGGTTTGGCTCAGTGGATAGAGTGTCGGCCTGCGGACTGAGGGGTCCCAGGTTCGATCAGCTGCCTCCTGCACATCTCCCACTGGGGAAGTGCCTGCAACCGAGGTACATGCCCCTGACCGGAATCGAACCTGGGACCTTTCAGTCCGCAGGCCGAGGCTCTATCCACTGAGCCAAACCGGTTTCGGCAACTTATATAATTTCAATCTCCTCCTCCTGTCCATCTGCATTCACCATACTTTAGACTAGTGAGTGGTTCTCAACCTTCCTAATGCCGCGACCCTTTAATATACTTCCTCATGTTGTGGTGACTCCCAATTCATTGTTACAAATTGAACATAATTAAAGCATAGTGATTAATCACAAAAACAGTATGTAATTATATATGTGTTTTCTGATGGTCTTAGGTGACCCCTGTGAAAGGGTCGTTCGACCCCCAAAGGGGTCGCGACCCACAGGTTGAGAATAGCTGGACTAGTAGCTTTCAAACTTTTTTGATCATCACCAACATAAGAAATACATTTGCAACTTGATATATACATGCAAATAAATAATTAAAAAATATGTATGATGTAGTCTAATTTATTTTTCTCTCATTTGTTTGTGTTCTGGTAACTATCCACCTATGTCTTCAGATCCACAAATGGAAAAATCTCTACTCTAGCTGCATTGACCTTCTACTGGTTTCTCAAACACACCATGCTTTTCATACCTAAGGCCCTTTGCTTTTGTTGCTCATTCTCATCCCTCACTCATCCCTAGCTCTTTCCATGACTGGAAATCACATTTCTGCTTAACACCTCCTCAAAAAAGATTTCAAAGTATGCCCAACATAGCAGGTTCTCCCCCATTATCTCCTTTACTACTCTATTTCTTCCATAGGCTTATTTATTTACTCATTATATTCTGACTCTCAACAAGAATGAGGGCAAGGTCCTTTTTGGTCCTGTTAACCAATGTATCCCCAATACCCAGGATAATATTATGCTCCTGACAAGCACTCAAATAACTATTGAAAGAAGAGATATGCTAGCAGACTGAGTCATCTATGGAAATCAAGTGGAGTAGTAGCCTGCTCCACAATTCCCAATCATAGCTTGGAATTCTCCCTGGGCCTCTCATAAAGTCACAGAGTAAATAGAGGAAGGCGATTTTATTTCTCTAATCTGCAAATTAACAAATTTTTAAAAAGAAACAAATTATTAGAATGGGTAGTATCATATAGATATTTCTCGCTCCAGTAGGTCAAAAGAAAAGAAGATAAGAACAGAAAGACAAGCTTTCTGTTCCATCTACAGTCAATATGAAGAGGTGGCCTCTGAGGTCACAAAAAAAGGTTAAATCATAGTTGATTATGTATGTTCCTGAAGGAATCAGTCTTGCTAGTAGCAGTAAGCAACAACTCAAATGTCCATGTATAGCATCAGGGTCCCTGAACAAAGAGCCTTCTTTTAGTTCTTCTGGCTCTCTCCACCAAGGATATAGAGCAAGATCATAACAAATGTTCCTTCTGCTTCAGGGTGAGACATCCACCGACCATAAGAACAGAGAAGGACTCCTGGAGATAAATGGGGAGTGTTTCCCACGAAAAAAGCTGAGACCCGGGAAAGATCTGTGTTTCTGCCTTGGAGGTGAGCTGATGCTGAAGTCAACTGGGCTACACCAATTCTGGTTTGAACATGAAACACCCACTGGTGTAATGAGGTGCTGTGCAGTGATGATGCAGGAGCAACTAGGACAGCACAAAGTCAGAGGCCCATCTTCTAGTGTTGGGTCCACTTGATGCTCTTAAGGTCAATGCCATCCTGCACCATCTCCCAGAGAGGGCTGCCAAAGAGAAGAGATAGTGGATGAGGGAGGGCTTAGAGAGGCAGCAGCCAAGAATCCTTTATTAAAGGGAGTTTTCCTTTAAAAAACTTAAACTACAAATCACAAATTTTGTATTGATATTGCTGCAAGGACAACTATTAATACTCTGAAAAACACCTGAATTTATGTACTTCTTTAGTTTTTAAAAACGTTTTTTCATATTCTGAAAATAAGTAGCCAAAGATATTCACTTTCTTGTTTTGTGGAATCTCTAAATTATAAAATTCAATTATTTGCAAACTGGTTTCTGGCCATGTGAACACAGCATGAGCACTGCCATTTCTTCCAAAGGATCAAGTACAACAGTCCATACCTCATTTCTCGAAGACGCTTCACATGGTAAATGCACTTCTCTACTGTGTAGTCCACTTCCTCCTCTGTAGTGAAACGGCCAATGCCAAACCTGAAAAGGGCACAGGAGGAGAGCTCTGCATGAGAGCTCTAGCACTGAGGTAAATTCATTCAGCAAATACTCAATGAGGATTTACTCCACACACAACATGGTAAGAACATGGTCCTTCCCCTCTAGGTCTGAGTTTCTATGATTTGTGGACCAGCCACATCAGAATCACCTGAGAAGTTTCCTACTCCTCCAGACCTAGTGGATCATATTCTCTGGGTGTAGGATTCAGAAATCTTCATCTTACACAAACTTTCCAGGAGATATTCAGTGAAGTCTGAGAATCACTGGTCTAGAAACTTTCATGAAGAATTAAGAAGGAGGACTTATATGCATGCATATAAGCCAAACCAATGGACATGGACAACAGGGGAATGAGAGCATGAGTACGGGGGATTCATTTGTAATTCCTTAATAAAGAATTTAAAGATTAAAAAAAAGAATTAAGAAGGAATAAGGAAAACTAGATTGAGGAGACGATAACAGGAGATAAAATACACACAAAAAGATGCCTTTCATAAATGTTACAGCTCAACTGACTGACCTGATAGAAGAGTGAGCTAAATCCTCATCAGTGCCAATTGCCCGAAGGACATAAGAGGGCTCCAGGGATGCAGAAGTGCACGCACTGAGGAAAAAGACACAGAGCCTTGCTCAGTTCATCAACATCTGATTTTAGCCCCAAACCCCCAGACCTGCTCCCATCTTCCAGGTCCCTAGAGTCATAACATGGAGACAAAAGAGACATTCTCATCTGTCAGAGCTAAAGGCTACCGGCACTTTAAGGGATTTAAATCTAGCTCCTCTGGCCCGTATGGCGGTTAAACTCTTTAAACAAGGATATTGCCACAGAATGACACCACAAGAATTGATCTGACAACAGGCAGCAGAACACGTGTTCACTCCCCTGTGACCGAATACACCATATTGTACCAGCATAGATGGCAGCTAAACCCGAGGTGGCCTTTAAAGTATACTTCAATTCCAGAGGCCTACAGCAGAACTGCTAATACAATACTAGAACAGATACTTGCATCTCCTGGGACTACAAAAGGTACAAAATTCTACCCCAAGAAGCCCTCCTAGAATGGCAACTTCAGCCTGTGCCCAGCTAGCTAAAAAAATAGATGTTTACGCCCTAACCGGGTTGGCTCAGTGGATAGAGCGTTGGCCTGTGGACAAAAGGGTCCTGGGTTCGATTCTGGTCAAGTACATGTACCTTGGTTGCAGGTTCCTCCCTGCCTGGGCCCTGGTTGGGGCATGTGCAGGAGGCAACCAATCGGTGTGTTTCTCTTTCACTGATGTTTCTCTCTCTCTCCCCTTCTCCCCCATTCTCCCTAAAAATCAATAAAAAAATAAACTCAGATGAAAGTTAACAAAATATATAAATAAATAGATGCTTACAAAATGACCCTTATTCTTAACCAAGAGCTCTTGTACCTGTTATCTCTATGCTGGAAAGCTCAATAATCTGTTATAACACTTAGAAGCCAGGCTAATCGGTCCTGCCACAGTCCTTTCTATCTGGTCCAACTTACCTCCCCGAAGATAAGGCAACATCCTTGAGTGCCATCAGGAGACTCTCCCCTTCCACATAGGCAAAGGAGAGGTTGATACAACCTGGAAAAGAGAACCACTATGAGAGGAGTCT